ATTGTAAAAACGAAAACTGCTTCTGGATAAAGTTGTTAGTGTTTGTATTAGAAATTTACAATTCAATGAAAAAAGTCTTGAATTTTATTTTTTTTTTAAATCTTAGATTAACCTCGTCAATTATCTTTTGTATTTTCATTGAAATTTTTATATATATATATATATATATATATATATATATATATATATATATTTTACAAAAAAAAAGCTTATCTAGCCTTTTTTTACACTCAGACTGCCTAATGTATTAATTAAGTAATATCTGAGAAATTTTGATATTTTTCAATAGTGACAAGGAACAAGGCCTATTGAAAAGAAATCATGTAACTTGCTGCACAAAAAAAAAAAACAGAATTGTTTACAATTTCTTGACTGAAATATCATGTAAATAAATTATGTTTATCTTCATTAGTTCTAATTTGCTAACCTTTATCATTGGCCCAATATCTATAGATAATACTTTGATTCAGGGTCATCAGTTGCAATTTTTCAGCAAACAGATACGACATTTTTTTCTAAAAAATCTGAATGTGTATTGCTGACAATATTTATTAGAAATACCCATAATACTTATGAAAACAGCCAACAATATTGGTGAACAACTGAGAATATTTACGAAAAGTACTGAGAATATTTATGAGAAAATCTGAGAATATTTATGAGAACTACTGATAATATTTATGAGAACTATTGAGACTATTTTTTAAAGATCTACTGAGAATATTTACGAGAAGTTCAGAGAATAAATATAAGATTCATGATAATATTTATGAGAACTATAAAGCATATTTTGAAAAAAAAATATTAGTTGGTATCAACTTCAGAAAAGGTTGGCTAAATTCATGAGAATATATACCTGAACATATTGAATTTTTATAATACTTGCATTGAATTAAACCATTGAGATTTCTTAAAACATATCTTGAGGCATTTTTGAGCATGGAATCATTCAATGTTATGTAGAAAAAAAAAATCACGCTCATCCACTGACTAATTGAACACTTGCAGAAAATAGCACTCGTAAAAACTAGCATGACGAACAATTGTAATTGTCCTCATATATATGTGCCACAAACTACTTTATTAATATTACCATTTACATATAAGTATTTACTGAAAATGTATGTGACGTGTTCTTTGTATTAATATCCTCATACACATGTGAGTGTTCAAAACAAAACTTTGATCAGTTGATGTAGTAATTACTTGCAGTTGTTGTTTTATTTGCCCACAGCGATGAAAAGGTTTGTATGTGCAGATTTTTGTCAAGGTAATGATAAGTTTTCTTTTAGTTCAAGAGGGGGGCAGTGTGTTACAAATTCCATAACATTCATGATGAAAACCTTGCTAAAGAGTATTGATGATTTAAGTACACATAACATTAATACAATATTGAGGAGGGGTGATACACTGTACAGAAAAGTGCACAAAGAAGATCAAGATAATGGTCTACTGCATGAATAATTGCCTGATTTTATTATTTATGAGGGTAATTATTTTACATTCAAGAAAATGAAAGCAAGCTTTGGATGCATGTCAATTGAAGGTGGCAAAGATAGACTAGGAATTCCAGTGGAATTCAGTTTTTGCAATGTCCAGGCGTAAAAATGCATGATTTTTAATTATTAATGTTTTTCCTTTAAATGTCAAATTTCTAGTTTTCCAAACATGAAGGCAATTGGTTATTCTTTCTATTTTTTCCATCCATATAGCTTCAATATCAATATCGTACCCGTGGTTCACACCTTAAGTTTTAACATGCGTTGCGGTCCACTGAATTTTATTGAATTTAGGTTTTTTACCCCTTGATTTTCCAATATATAAGCCCTTTGTTTTAGCAAAATTTATTTTTGCGCCTGATGCTTTTTCATATATTTTAAGATTTTAAAGGATTCTTCTATAGATTCTTCGTCTTTATTGAACAACTGGGTATCAGCAGCAAACATACTGATTTTGCATTCAATGTGCTGATTATTATTAGGAATATGTATACCTTTAATGTTGGGATTTTGGCGTATGGCGCAAGCCAAAGGTTCTATTTGTAATACATATAGCAAGGGAGCTATAGGACACCCTTGTCTAGCTGATCTTGATATTGTAAAGTATTTGGAGAGGAACCCATTTGTTTTAATGCAGGTTTTTGCATTTATTAACAACATTTTTATCCAGTTGCAGTATTTATTTCCAAAATTAACGTTTTTTTAAGGTAGAGTCTAACCATTCCCATTCTAATCTATCAAATGCTTTTTGTTGATCAAGAAAAATTATTGCTCCTTCTAAGTCTTCATTATCTGCGAAATCAATAATATCTTGTATAATTCTATTGGCATCGCTTATATTTCTTCCCTTTACAAAACCTTTTTGATCAGGATGTATAAGTTTTGGCAGGACATTTTTAAATCTTTCAGCAAGTATTTTTGCAATTATTTTATAGTCTGTATTTAACATTGTCAGAGGTCTCTAATTCTTTATACTTTCGCGTTCTCCCCATTTGTGAATTAGGGATAAAATACCTTTCGTTTGGGAGTCGCAAAGTAAATTGTGGTTAAAGATATATTTAATCACTTTGGTAAATTCGTCTTTAATAACATCCCAATAAATTTGGTAAAAATTTGAAGTAATACCATCTTCCCCTGGTGATTTATTAATTTTTAATGTCATTATTGCGTTATGAATTTCTTTTTCATTTATATCGCGATCAAGCATTTCTTTTTCTTCAGTGTTAAGTTTACTATAAACATCTTTTAACAATTTATCTCCGCTTTCTGGGTCGCACCCTTCGGTGTTTAATAATTCTTTGTAAAATTTTATTTGTTCCTCAATTATAGAATCAATATCTGTTTTATATGTCCCGTCATCACATTTTATTCTTATCCATAGTTTGTTTTCACCATTTTTTTTTCTCTAATTGAAAGAAATAAGAGGAGGGTACTTCTCCTTCAGAAAACCACTTGCATTTAGATCTCAAAATTGCGGCTTCTGTTTTTTCTTTCAAGATATCCTTTAATTTTTGCTCAATCGCATTCAAATATTCTTTATCCGTATTAGGGTTGTTTTTTATGCTTTCAATTTCTTTTTCTAATTTTTCACATGTTTTCTTGCTAGTATTATAGGTTTTGGATAACTCTATACAGATTGATTTTATTTTACTTTTTGTCATATCCCACCATTCATGAACATTATCATATTTTTCTAGACTTAATTTGTGATTATTCCAAAATTCAGTAAATGTTTTCTTGAAATCTTCTCTTAAAATAGTTTTTACATTCATTGCCCATACCCCCGGGCCTCGTTCGACTTCTTCTACATGTAACTTTATCGAAATGAGATCATGATCGCTTAGTGGAAAATGTGTGATTCTTGTATTTTTTATTTTATGTGATAAATTTTCACTAATAAGAAAATAATCGATTCTAGACTTAGAATTACATCTATGGAACGTATAGCATCTTCTCTCTAAGTGTCTTTCTCGCCAAATATCTTCTAGTTCGTTATCTCTAAGAAATTTATCGAGGTCATCTTTACTAGGATCATTTTTAACTGGAATTGGATTCCTATCCATATTTTTATCTATAGCACAGTTAAAGTCACCACATATTATCTTATAATCTAAATTATTAAAGGTCAGATGTTTAAAAAATGATTTTCTTTCATTCACAATGTTTGGTGCATAAATATTTTTAAGTCCAATTTTTATTGTGTTTATCATAAGGCATATGTCTATTTCCCGTCCATCTTTGTCGAATTTTACATCGCTAACTTTTAATTCATTTTTTTCATATATAATATCCCAACACCCCGTGATTCACTAGACCAGTTATTCCATATAGAATTACCGGTAGTACCGTTAAATTCTTTCCATTCATGTTTCCATCTCTCGGTATCTAGATCAGTTCCATGAGTCTCTTGTAAACAAACTACATCATATTTACAGGTACGCTTGCTCAATCATGAAATTATACACATTCGCTTTCTTTTATCCCTTAATCCGTTAACGTTAATAGATGATATATGCAAAGACATTGACAATTAAAAAAAAAAAATTTTCCGCTTATCAATATTTGATTTAAAAAAATGAACATGCTTAATATGTACAATTTTTAGGGGTAATAATTTTTTTTTTCGCTAATCAATATTTGATTTGAAAAGATGAACATGCTAAATATGTACATGTTTGTATTTATTCCTATGTACACATGCTTAAATGCAAATTGTTTGCTAGTATACATAGCACGCAGCATGACAGTAAAAAAACATATACCCAAACATATATACATTATTATACAATGTTAAATTGTGTAAGGTTCCGTACATTCGCTACATTCACTAAACTTTGGGACATTTGCCTTGTTTCTCAGCGGAGGACGGTGTATGAGAACTTAATTTTCGTTTTGACATGTTTGGGGTCTGAGGTTCACTGCCATTCGAAGTTTCTTTTTTCTCGAGAAAAGCCATCGCAATTTTTCCAGCACCTTCACTGCTTATGTGCACGCCACTTGGATCGGTAGGGTCGTACAGTGATTTGATCGCGTGACCTTGATCGTTTACGAAAAGACTGTATGTGTCAATTATCTGAGTTCTGTGATCCTTTTCACAGAGTTTTTTTCAGGAAGATGTTCACTGTGTTTGTTGTTTCGTTTAATTTTTTTATTACGGCACCCTTACCTTTCCTAGGAATAATCGTGCTGACACTTATAATTGCTGATGGATAAGTTTCTTTCACTTTATTGAGACCCATAAGCACGTTTACATTTATTTCACTAGGGTTGTCCCGATGCCTTGATATATCATTTGTGCCCAGATTTACTATGATATTTTCGGGTACAGAATCACCAAGTTTCTTATTCGCATGATTTAAAATCTCTGACATGTTTTCATATGCTGCTCCTGACACAGACACGTTAAAAAACGTTTTGTGTCAGTTTTGGGAGCCTGCCGTATTTTGATGCACCGAGTACAATTGTGTCGATGTGTTCATTTTCACCATTCTGTTCAACACTTTAATCATCATGCATTGCTTCGTTACTTTCCAGAATTTCGGAGGCACATTTTCCATATTTTAGGGCAAGTTTTTCAGCAAGTTTTTGACAGTCATCTTTGCTGTGACCCTCTTGTTTACAGCACTGACACACTGGGTCGTTTTGACAGTTAAATGCTATGTGGCCTGATTTATTGCATTTAAAGCACACTACATTTTGATCAGGTTTGTTCGGGCATTTAAACGACGGGTGATCGGTATTTTTACAATATGGACACTCTGTTCTATTGTTATCAGCAAATAATCGAACTTCGTGATCTCCGAAGTGTGTTCGATTGGGAAGGGTTGATACACAGTTTAAGATTTGTAAATATCTTGTCCCGGTTTCAATACTTGTGTTTTTAATTGTGCCACGTTTTATCAAACCTGACACTACCTGTCCATAGGCCATCATGTGTTTGACAATGAAGGAATCGTCTAGTTCGACTGGGGCATCTTTTATAGTAACATTTGTAATTTGTTTCTCTACATCAATCAGAGTAATGTTTCTGTTTTTGACCGTTAAATCCGACATTAGAAGATTTTCCTTCACCTGACTATCTCGAAGAGTAATTATGCAATCACTTTCGGTAATTTGAATAGCTTTAATGTCATTGTTTTCAACTTTTTCCAGTAAACCATTCAATATATCCTCATGAGTTATACCCTTGAAATATTTGGTAGAGAAGTGTAGAGACAAATGCCTCGATACTTTTGACATGCTGAGTAGTGTTCAATGAACTGTTCACCGACTTGTTTTAAATGTGCAAATAGTTATGCAAATAGCTAAATAATAGATAATGCACTTTCACTATACCTGCACACTATAGCGGCGAACATCTGTTTATTCTCATGCATGGGTCGCTCTCGAATAAAGAATCCACAGACAAAAATCTAAGCAAATACTACCTTTCTTTTTTCACTCTTTACGGGTATTTACAATTCATTGACCTCATTGTGACTTGTTTAGTATTCTAATTTATCACGTGATTTGTGGACTCAAATATCCTTTTGAATACAAAAAAGAAATCAATGAACCACGTGCTTTTAGTTCCGATTAACATTCCGTAAAAAACCGTTCAACTTAGACCGTTATGTACATTTTCAATTACATGTAATCAACATCGAATTATTTCTTCTCTTTCAAGAATTTTATTGGTGTAATGGAATATTAAAATTGACTAAATGTACTGATATTTAATTTTTAATCCTTGGATTCAGGTGGCACGTTTGGAGGCTCAAAGAGTTTCCCAGAATTAGTCCCCATCTTCGACGTAGCATCATTCCTCAAAGTGTTTTTGACAGTAAAAATATAGGCACGCGACTCAGCTATGTGAAAGGCTGATATGGAAAATGTGACCTTTGCACCGTTTTTATATGTATTACTTCTTTTAAAAAATTGTAACAAAGCAACTGAATACTTGTAGAAAATGTTATATAGCTATCAATAATTGATGGGACTGGGCCGTATTTATTACCAGTTGTATCACACGTATCAGCTGTTTGTCACGTGATTTAGCTTGTATAAAAATAGAATTGTTCAGCTGAATGTAGGAAATGGGGAAAGTGCAAGGGCATACGCTTGTTTTTCAAGAAAAAAGTTGATACAAATTAAAAGATGTTTATTTCCAGTACCCAAAAATTGCTGGGAGCTAGTTAGTGCTGTTTGCGAAGTACTGAAAACTTTGCCGAAAATGCTTATAATAGCTAAAAATTTCCACTTCTCTTAAATTCTGTTATAAATAATAATAATTTTATGCAGACCAGGATCAGCTCCCAGCACTTTTCAAAATATATACTCTATAAGCAATAAATATTCCAAATTTCAGCTCAAATAAAATAGTCTATGCCCTTGCACTTTTGATGTAAATCACGAATACGCTCATCGTTTTAGCAATATTCTCTACATTCCTTGTCCTTGTGCAGCTCCATTGCTACTAGATATATTCAAATTCTATATACATTGTATTTAATACATTATTTTCTTTTATTTTTAATGATTAGGTTTAAAAATTAGGTGTGGCATATTTATTTAAGCATTCTTATAATTATAAAACCAGTGAATCTAGTCCTCTGGATCACCTGTGCTGCGTCTTGTAAAGGCTGATGACGTCATATTTGACAAAAGACATCTTCTGTTACTCGACTGTATTGCTATCAAGCATTGCAATTTTTTATTTTATAAAAAATTGATAAAATATATAAATTCAAGTTGTTATTTACACACGATCATGTCGTTAATCAATTTGTGTGGCATGTTAAATTTCAATGACGTCACAATTAAACTTCAATTATGGTGTACAAGGTATGTTAACTCTGACCTTCCTTAACATAGCGGAGGGGGTACAAGTACGCAGATTGTACGAGGGTTGTTCGAAAAGTTCGTGGACAACTGTCATATCTTTTTTATTTTTATGTCATATGTTATCCAAATTTGGTAGAAATATTTTAACAATAAATCCAAATGATATGTGTTAATTTTGACAAAATATTAAGATTGATTAAAAACTTATCCATATTTTAAAAACGCAAAAATTGGATCGCGCAGCAGGTCAAAATTTAGTCAGTTGCAGACAATGCAATAAATAATGTCTATAGTCATATTCTCTGTAAAATGGAGGAAAAACAAAAAACTACCTAGGAATTCAAATTCAGAATTGTTGCATCGATACGTGTACCAAATTATGCTTTTATATTTTGCTTTGTTGAAAAGAAATCAACTTGAGAAGATTGGTAGTCCTTATTGAAAACGACAAAAATGATGACGTTTTAGAACGTCACGGAACTGCAGGTACCGAAGCAATTTTGTGTTTTTCTCAGGAAAAATTCTGAATAAACTCTAAAAATGTTGAAGGAATCAAGAAAATATGTCACAAGCGAGTTGTGCATGTGTGTACAATTAGTACAAGCAATGTTTGAGTGACAGGGACTCTGTATCGGATGAGGATGACATGTGAAGAAACGGTTTTACTGTAAACATCTGAACAAAACTTTAAAATTTGAAACGAAATGAAAGACAAAGGCACTTCAGAGTTGCTTATCCTGAGAAAGCAGAGTTAAGTACTATAAAAGAAATCAAAACCTTAACAAAGGAAATTATACAATGAGATAAATTCATAAAAAATAAATGTCAAGCATTAGAAAAATAATTTAATGAATGGGAATTGGAATATTCTGTGTGAAATGTATTGGTATAGTATCTATTATAAATTTCCGACGCTATGTGTTGACCTTACGTTGCCGTTTTGTGTGCTCCGCGGGTACAAAACCTGTTGAATTCAAAATGAAGTAAATTTATTTGTGTTAAATCGAATGGAATGAAACTTCACACATCAACAAAACAAATATTTTTACATATTATAATGTGCTTGTTTTGAATTTCCAGTGAGTAATATAACGAAGATGGACATCGTCCACGAACTTTTCGAACAACCCTCGTATAACACTGACATGGAATGCTAACTTGGACAACTCCCAACCCTAGCCCCCCCCACCCCCCCCCCCCGCCAAAAACAAAAAAGAAATCTTGACACATACAATAAATAAAATTGCTTAAGTGATAAAATAACACCACATGCAGCATCGCAAAAAAATATTCCGTACACCATTATATATAGAAAAGTATTTACTGTGCTTTAAAAAGTACGGAATGAGTGAGATAAAGAAAGAGAAAGCGAGATTGCGAGAGAGAGAATATTCCATACGGCTCTAATCTTTTAGAAAATACAGAAGTTTTTCTTAAATATGATTTTGTCCTTTTTTCATACAAAGTAGGCTCAGTTTATTTAAGTGTTAAAATTTCCACCTAGAAACGACCAAAAATTTTGGGGGTTACATTTATCTGGATTTAAGGATCAGGGACTACATGTACGAAGGGTGATCAAAAAGTTCGCGAACTATCTCTATATCTACAAAACCACATTTCAGGTAGCAAAATAAAATGGTACATACATAGCCATACACCGGTTCTATAAATAGCATATACGGAATAAGTTTTGTTCCTTGATTGTGACGTCACAATGTGGTAATGACGTCCCTATGTAGGTCACCTGTGACGAAAAATGGTTGTCTCACTCGTATACGTTCAACAAACGACTGTAGAGTTTATGGTGTGTATTAGAAATGCTGTTTAAGTAGCGTATAATAATGTTTACACAGTTGATTAAGATTTATGACTTTCTATAAATTCAATCAATGGTTAAATTGGTTGGTTTAGTGAAGGAAGGCAGATGGTTAAAAATATATATGACACTTGTTTTGTTGCAAAGTGAATGCAAGTTTGAAAAGAGATGTCTTTTAAAGGTAAAGATCTAGAAAATGAAAGGTGCATATAGATTTATAAAACTTGAGAAATAAAGTCCTTTCTTGATGCTTTACAACATTAGCTTGGTCAAATAAGGTGTTTCGAGGCATAATTTGTAGGAAAACGAGATGAAAAACTGTATTTTAACCTGTCATTTTCAATGAAAAATTAAGACAACCAGTCATGAATATGGGACTTTTTTTGGTATTCGGAAAAGAAAATGTATCCACATTGTCTTCAGTCTCTCAGAAAACGGTAATTAGTATGTTCATGGCCTCCTCTTTAAATCAATATCATATTTAATATAGGTATCCGGTTTACTTTTCATATGATTTCAAATTAAATGCCATAAAAATACCCAATTTTCTACATAGTTCTGCCAAAGGCAAAGTTGAAATTGATTATGACGTCATAATGGATTTAGAACCAAAAAATTAGTCCAAAGGTATGTACTAGATCTTGATCTTAATTAAGAAATTTGCTATCAAAGACCTCCACTTTACAATTTGAAAAATAGTTGAATATTTCAACAATAATATACCTATCAAATACCTAAGATATCGTTTACTTAAGATTTTAGACATATTAGATATGATAAAAATGAGTCACCAATTCTCTATCCACTTTGAATAAAAGTCTCTCCCAAGACAGAAGGTTTGGGTTTTGATGGTCGCCTTGCATATTTTTGGAAAGAAAATTCTTATCATCCTATTCTGTTGCCGAGATTTGACCATTTCTAACAAATGAGCTGTTCTTGTTTTGAAGATTAACTAACATGGAAAGAAATATAAAACTCAGAAAAATCTCTCAAATTTTGTGACAGAACGCTACGGAGGGAGGTCAACTGACCGCCCATAACACGTGGTTCACGCATGAGCAGACTGGTCAACACTGAAACCAAATATTGTTTCTTCCGTTTTATGGAAGTTATTCAATTTGAACTTTTTGATCACCCCTTGTACATCTCCAAGAGCCTCCCCAGCACCCCCTTTTAAAGAAAAAAATAATCATAAAAACTGGAGTAATTCTTGAGAAGTTCTTTGTGTTTTTTTTCTGTATATTTTATATAATATTCTAGAAGACATTGTAACTGGCTATTACATGTTTTCAATCGATTGATGAAATGTCCTGCCTACTCCGAATGACACACTTAAAACCCACCTCGGACAATCGCAAAATTCCGGAATATAATACCCACTAGAAGGCTTTTTTAATTACCTTTTACCTTTTTTAAAATTAAAGTGCCGTGTTCAGTGTAAATTCATCATAATGATAGATTGTATTTGCTAACAGGCATGTTGTATCGTTCACAGAATTTGGAAAATAATGACTCCGAACTAAATTGATGTGTTGAAACTCTTGTTTCAGCAAAATATTTGTAAAAAGCCCTTATCGTTGTAGAAATTTTTTGTATGTTG